TCCTGCGTTGGAGGGGGGAAACTGAGGCACAGAGCTTATTGATGCGGGCAGGTTTGGGGGCTCTCGTCCCCTTCTTCCACCCCACTGGATTTTTTGTGGCGATGCTGCTTTTGGTTATTTCTCCTGATGTCTGCGAGTAAAGTCGGTGTCAGCTTCAGCCCGATTCTGCCTCTTTGGTCCTTGCCTGGGCGGATCTGGAAAGTGGATGGGAAAAATAGGAAGAGAGAGAATTTTGGGCTCGGTGCCCCCCCAGCTCTGATCCCCCCCATAGGCACTGCGGCGGACAGGGGTTTTCCGTCTCGTTTCCTCCTTCATGACTTTTTGGGGCTCTGAAGCCAGGAGTGTGGAGACACGTCCTGAGCTGCTGGGCTTCCTGCTTTATGAGGGGGCTCTTTCCATCTTCCCCCCCTCCAATTATTCCCTAACAGACCTGATGAGGTCGTATCCCAAACTGTTCCTGCCTCGACCCCCCCCCAACCTGACAGGTCCAAGAGACGAAATGGGGTGGGGGGACAGGTCCTGGCTGTGCTCCCCCAGCCCGGCTGCGTGTCCCGTGTGTCCTTTAACATCTTTCGCTCAGATTTGGGGTTCGGGGGGGGTTGCCCTTTGCTGGACCAACGCGGAGGCAGGAGCTGGAGGTGGCATTTTCGCGTGTTGAGATTGAGCAGGGGGAGAACCGCAGCCGGGTATTTCTGGGGGCTTGTTTTCATTCCTGGGGATGGAGAGACAGAGATGCTCCCCTCAAATCCATGGCCAGCATTGCTGTCCCCGTCCTGCCGGGATGCTCTGTGTCCCTCAGGCAGCTCCGGACGCCTCAGTCTTGGCCCGGCAGTGACGTGGGGCAGGGGACGCGGTGCAGAGCCAGTCCCACACACGGGGAGCCCTTGGGCTCAGGTGCGCAGCCCAGGCTGAAGCAGTCGGGGCCGTACATGCGGCGTGGGGCTCTGCTCCTCCTCCAGGCTGTCCCCAGGGACCTCTCTTTCCGCTCCCGGGCCTGCTGCTTTTCCCCAGGGCCACCCATCTTTGCAGAGCACCCAGGGCTCCTCTCCCCATCCGGCACGTAAGTTCAGAGCAGGGTGCCTGGCAGAGGAATTCCCCTGGTGAGGGAGCAGCCCTGAAGTCAGTGCTGGGTGGGACGTTCAGTGCTGGGATATCCTGCCTGCTGCCTGTCCCGGCACGGGACTGCTGCCCGTCCCAGCCGCCCGGTTGCTCCAGGCTCCTCGGCTTCGCCATGTGCCCATCCCACCATCCCGGCAGCTTGTCCGTATGGGAGCTGGGAACGCTCCTCCTGGCAGCGCGGGGGATGTTGGGGTGGCATCACCATCACCTCTGTGCCATCAGGGACCCCGCTGTGAGACAGGGACCGTGCCGGACTCCTGACCCCCCCCCCGCTTTGTGGTCTCTGAGCTTTGACCTTGGCAGAGGTCAACATGGAGCCAGATCCCAGGTGATGGCAAGGCTCTCTGAGTTGAAGGAAAAGCAGCGCTGGGAGGTTTCCTATTGCTCCAGACGCATCTTTTCCACTTAGAAAGTGGGTTTCCCTGTTTCCTCCTTGGCTGGAGAGTGCGTTACTCCTGTCTCGCTCTGCAGGGCTTCGCTCCCGTGCGTAGGAAATAGCCCTCTGCTCCCGCATGGCAGAGCCATCACCTTATCTGATGGTGTATTGGGATGAGCGAGTCTCTCTGGTTTGCACCGAGTGGATTTTCTAGCTTTGCCTGGATTGTTTTGGCCCGTAGAAAGTTGCTCGAGGGTGATGGAAACAGCCACGTCCCTTTGATCTTTAATCTCGAGAGGCAGCATGTGGAGATTACGTGTCCTGGCGTGCAGTCCGGAGCTGCACGCTGGGAGCTGTAGTCCCCGTGTCCTGCTGGGAAGGCTGTCTGCCCGTTGCTGCTGCTAAGCCTGTTTCTTTGCTGCTCAGACCGCTGGTCTCAGGAGGACATGCTGACTCTGTTGGAGTGCATGAAGAATAACCTGCCTTCCAACGACGGGAGCAAGTTCAAAACCACCGAGTCCCACCTGGACTGGGAGAAAGTGGCTTTCAAGGACTTCTCAGGGGAGATGTGCAAGATGAAGTGGATGGAGATTTCTAACGAGGTAACCGACAGCCGCGCAGGGCTCGGAGGGGTTTTGGCGAGAGGGACCGAGCGTCCCGGTGACCTCCCAGGGCTGTTTGAATCGCTCAAGTTCAGTGCCCTGAGTCCTTGGCCCTTAGTGCCGACACCATCCTGCTGCCGTCGGCATTGTGAACCCTTTGGAGGCGCTGGGATGGGTCGTTTGGACGGTGGCTTTACGAAACCCTGCGGGTTTATGCTGTGCCGAGCACGGCTCGGTATTGAGCAGGGATCTGCTCTGTCCCCGCAGCCTGTTCATGTTTGTGGCCCTTCGTTAACCCTGCAGGTGAGGAAGTTTCGGACCCTGACAGAGCTCATTATGGACGCCGAAGAGCACGTGAAGAATCCTTACAAGGGCAAAAAGCTCAAGGTATCGGGCAGGAATTGGGATGGGTCCCTAAAGGGAGACCTTCCTCTTCCCCAGGACGGGGGGCTGTCACCCATGTGGCACCCCAGACCTGTGTGGCTCTGCCACCGGAGCCCCTGCAGGCACGTCACCGCCCGTAATCCCCGCAGCCAGCTGCCCGAGGCTCCGGAGGCCGTGGGCTCTGGGTCCGGGCCAAGTCCAGGGTACATTTAATATGGCCGGCTGTATTGCTGGCAGCCTGTGTCCAAGTTTAGCACCGGGGGGGCCGGGAAGCCGCTGTCCTATTCCTGGCCTGCTGGGTCGGGTGGGGTGCTGCTTTCGGCCAGGCAGCTCCAGGGCAGCTGATGCTCTGCCACCGGCCGTCCCCGGGAGGGGGGGCCCCTTCCCTCCTCCTGCCTCCGGTGATGCTCTGCCACCGGCCGTCCCCGGGAGGTGGGTCCCTTCCCCTCCTCCTGCCTCAGTTTCCCCTCTTGCAGCACAACTGCTCTGTGCCAACAGCTCTGGATGGCTGGAGGCTGCTCCCGAGATACCCAGCTCTGGGATATTGTAGTTCCTGGGGTAGGGAGGCCTTGTTCGCAGCCTTTTTACCCCCGTTGCATGCAAAGCCGGGGTGTTCCCATGTCAGGGATCACCAGTGGGGCTGGATGGAGGCAGGGCTCCCCCAGTACCAGGGAGGAGCTGGGAGCTGGCGGGGTTTGGCTGTGCCCTCTGCGGTGCCGCAGGCTCTGCACTCAGTGTCTGCCGCTCTGCTGTCTCCCCAGAAACACCCCGATTTCCCCAAGAAGCCCCTGACTCCCTATTTCCGCTTCTTCATGGAGAAGCGGGCCAAATATGCCAAGCTTCACCCCGAAATGAGCAACCTGGATCTCACCAAGATCCTGTCCAAGAAATACAAGGAGCTTCCTGAGAAGAAAAAGGTACGGGGGAGAGTCAGGAAGCCCCTTCCCACTTGTGTGCTTCTGCGTGCTGGGCTCTGCCTGCCCAGCTCTCCCAGTAAAACCCGCAGAGCCCAGCCTCTGCCTGGTGAGGGTTCAGTCCGGGTCTCAATGGGAGAAACCCACGTGCTTGTTTAGTCCCGTCAGACCAGTAAGACTTCCTTTCCCTGTCCTGGTTCCCAGGATCTGTGGGGTGGAGGCTGGCTGGTCTGTCCGTTGGTCCGTCTTTTCCAGACAGACCTGGATGGTGACTTTGCTGTTGGGTGGATCTGTATTTAGCGTTGGGGTTAAATCACACACCCTGCCATGGCCGCCCTGTCCGAGTGAGGGATGGAGGGGCCGGCTCTGCTCCGAGCCGTGGGAGATGCTGGGAGGAGAGCTGCCCAGCTCACCTCTGGCTCTGGAGGTGGCCCTTGGCTTGGCCAGAGCCCGGGCAGGCATTTTGGGTTCCCCTGCTCTCAATCTGGGTGGATTTGTCACCGGCAGGAAAGGTCCAGGGCACAAAGTCCTGCTGTGCCCTCTTGCCCAGGGCTGTTATGGTGCAGGAAGAGGGAGGAGAACCTGCCTCTGAATCCCTGGGCTGGCTGGAATCCCTCAGCTCGGAGCTGCAGGACCACTTTGACGGGCTGGAGAGCCCTCGAGTCCCTGTGGGGGTGATGGGGTGCCCAGCCAGCAGGGTCGACAGAGATGTACCTGCCTGCCCGTTCCCTGGTGCTGACATCCTTCTCCACCTCCCTGGTGGCTTTGTGTCCCCAGATGAAATACATCCAGGACTTCCAGCGAGAGAAGCAGGAGTTTGAGAGGAACCTGGCAAGGTTCAGGTGAGCGGGCAGCCCCCCTGGCATTTCCCTGGGCCCCTCCAGCCAGATCTGGTCTCCCCTCCTGCGTGTAGCTCATGGAGGAAGAAGCCCTGATGGGCGCTGTGGCTTGAAGGCAGAGGGGAAGGGAGAGTGCTGGGGAAAAAAAAAACCAAAACAAACCCCAAAAAAACCCCAAGGAAAAGGTGTCTGAGAGCAGCCCTGCAGCTGGGAGACTCAGTGAGGGAGAGAGAGCGGAGCACCTGCCACACTCTGAGGGCTAGGGTCTGGAAGGGGAGGACAGGAGCCCTGCCACTGCCACAGCTGGAAGCTGAACCGACCACCTCGTTCCCCCCAGACCTTCCCTTTGAACGTGGTCGCTGCGACCCAGGTGGATCCTGGCGTTGCTGATGACCTGCCGCTGCTCCAGGGATGCAGCCCAGCCCGGCGCATTAAAGGGGATGCTTGTAGCTGATGCAGACTCGAATCTCTCCTAAAATCCTCCTGCTCTTTTCGGGGACCCCCCAGTGTCTGAGCCCATGGAGGCTCAGCCCTGCAGTGACAGTTGCCCCTTAGCAGGGAGGTTTAGGGGGTGCTCTCCTTCCACCTGCAACCTCCGTAACGCTCTCCCTTCCCCACCTCCCCGCCGGGTAAAGGGAAGATCACCCGGATCTCATCCAGAACGCCAAGAAGTCTGACGTCCCTGAAAAACCCAAGACCCCCCAGCAGCTGTGGTACAACCACGAGAAGAAGATCTACTTGAAAGTGCGTCCAGATGTGAGTACGGTGGGTGGGAGTGCGTGTGAGCGTGAGTGTGGAGGGGTCCTGTACCCCGCTGCTGGGGGGAGAGGAGGGGGAAAGGAGAGAAGCATTTTAGGGGGGATGGGATGGAAGACACCGCTAGAAGTTTCCAGCAGTCTGGACGGAGGTAAGAAGGGGCTCTGCACATCTGGAAGAGGCTCGGGGATACAGACCCCACTTTTTGCCTGCAGTCGAAGGGGTGACCACAGCCTGAGTCAGGGCAGGAAAGGTTTCCAGCACAGACATCACCTCTGGCCATGCCCCGCACTCGC